TTTGTTCATACGACATCCTTACCATCTAACTGCGAAAGTTCATCATCAAATCTGCCAAGAACGAAATAATAAGCTGGATAAACCACATTGCGAAAAAAATCCTGACCATCAAAATCGAAGGTCCGATAAGCTATCATAGCTCTTGATGTGATTCCATAGCCGAAAATGAAAACGACAATGATGAATACGAATAACAAGAGGTCGTTTGTCTGTAAACGAAATGGTAGAATACACATTAACCCTCGTATTACATACTTACCATTTTCCGAATCATTGCAAGCTTGGGACCAAGCTGTGAAGCAATTTCAATGAATAGAACAGAACGAATAAACCACAATTCCAAATCATAAGCCATCACTATTCTATAAACATCATATGATTCACACGCATGACATTTTAAAACCATCATGAAGCATACCTCGCCGATTCAAAATCATCGGGATCTGTCCGTGTAAAACGAAGCACAAGTCCGATATAGAAGAGAACATATGCGGGTAGAACCAGACACAGATTAGATGCTCGATTACGTAAGTCAAAATAAGCATATATCTTGCCTATCAACGATTTATTATCTTGAAAGAAAAACTACACCCAACAAAAAGCATGAACACTTTGTAGTTGTACTTGAATATGCGAAACACGAACCTGTCGAACTTCTTCTACGAGCATAGTAGTCACTGTAATGATAGTTAATATTTCGGTCCAATGAATTCTCAGAGTTCCGTTTGAAAGTGGATCAAATGCGTAGAGCATATAATAACTGAAGCAGAGCAGGAAGAGGGCATAGCCAAACTACAATGATTTATATGGCAATATGGAAAAAAACAAATCATATGTCGCCTTTGACTTACACAAGTATAGAAATATTTGACTATGGGTCGATTGTGAAAATGGAGAAAATGTCGAAATACTGTTTCACTTTTGCCATAATCATTCGTATAATCAATACCGGTTTTTTTCAATCTAAGTTATTTTTTGTTCATCACACTGATTAATTATTATAAATACCTACTGTCGCTTTGAATGCATTGATGTATATGTCTATGAATGGAAAACAAAAAAAAAAGTACATATTTGTATGCGTAAGATTCGTGCTACAAGTTTCTTTACTTAGGGCAGTACAAAAGTAGCAGCAGAGGTTCGGTAGTTCCTTATAAAAAGCTTTAAAAAACTTTCTTTCTATATAGCCTGATAGAGAAAAGAATGCTCTTTTTGTTTCTATGCTATTTGATCATACTTCAACTAATAACATAATAATAAATTTTCGATAAGATTTGTTTCGCTATGATATGTGTCTGGTTGCACTAGTGTCTATTTAGTGAATATTTTTTGAATAATTTTTGATATCTAACAAAATATTGAAGCGCAATTTTCATTGCTCGAAAGCAGAGATAAAGATACACTGAGTCATATATTATATATAGAACTTTTGATATGAATTTTTTAAAGATTTTCAATCAACGTCTTTGAAAACAAAACTATTCGTGAGATGTTTACAGTAAATTCTCGATTGTCGAGTGTGTATTGAAACCGTCGATGGAAGATCTACAAAACTGTACAAGTTTCAGAGGTTGAAAATTAATCATTCTTATCTCTTACTTCGAACGACGAAAACTGCACTTCTCTATTTTATTTCTGTCAACTGTGATTCAAAAAATATTCACTGAATAGACAATAGTGTAACCAGGCATATATCATAGTGAAACAAATCCTATCGAAAATTTATTATTATGTTATTAGTTGAAGTATGATCAAATAACATAGAAACAAAAAGAACATTCTTTTCTCTATCAGACTATATAGAAAGAAAGTTTCTTAGAGCTTTTTATAAGGAACTACTGAACTTCCGTCACTACTTTTGGACTGCCCTAAGTAGCTTACCTGAGTTGCTGATGTGATTCTAGAAGAAGTCAAGTTGTACTTTTCATAGAGCGAGATGAAAATCTGCGATATTCCCAATGTAAGCATATTGACAGCAAGAACTGCTCGCTCTCTCACAGGATCGACCTTGTCGTACCAAATATTCGTTAACACAGCTTGACAAGCATCTTCATATAAAAATTTCTTATCATCTGCAGCAAGCGCCATTTGAAGACATGTGACACGTCCATAGAGATTTACATGTCGTACAATCAATTCACATGCTTGCTGTTTATCATACATGTAAGAACAACGTACAAGCTCAATAGCAAAAGTTTCGAACTCTTCCGCCTTGGAATATAATGTTTCTATTGTCTGTTGATCTGGTGCGTAAACTACTAATGCCTTGAGAATTTTCGAAGCGATCAACGCTGAACAAATACGAGTGTTCATCTTACTCAGAAAAATTTTGGCCATATCAAGTCGATATGTTAGTATGCACCAAAGAAAGAGATCACGGTAGATATGTTCTGCATCTATCGATTCCACCTCGTTATTATTGGTTGGTTGTATCTTATGGAATCGACATGTTGAGGGATACTTATAAAGTGGTTGCATGAAATCGCCAACTAATTTTTCGAAAATCACAGATAAATCTTTTTCTTTGTCAAAAGTAAGGTTTGAATCAATCTGATCTAGAAGATATAGCGGATCCCGCTGTAGAAACAAAACAAATGTTCTACAATGTGAATATTCAGTACAAAAAATATATTCGTCTTACATTTTTACGAATTGTCTCTGAATACAGTTCTTTTAAATAATGATGTCGTCGAGACCAACCATACGTATTGGAAGTTTGTGCTGATGCGGCATTATCAGCTACTTGCGGCAGCAAATCAGTAGAACGAAACAATATAGTAATATCAATGTCTAGTTTCACAAAATTACTGACGAATACGATTAAATTTTTGTGAAGTGCGCGAAACAGGTACGATCGATTTTGTTCCCTCTAGAAAGAAAACCTATTTTAAGAATGTCAAAATAAGATAATCAATGACCTACTTTACTAGGATCATTCCAGATATTGGTAGTAGTCACTAATTGGTTTTCATCTATATCGTTAACACTCCAGTGGAGTGCTACATGTACTTGATTATCGATAGTTAAATGACGATTGTTCGTGGTCCATGTAAGATTATCTCTTGCTAATAATGAAAAGCATAACTACGCGTTTTTTATGAAGTTTATATACACTATATTGCTAAGAAGATATTTTTAATGTCAGATAATATTTCATGGACAATTATATTTCCATTATTTTCCATTGTGCCGGAAAGAAAAAGAATTATCATGAAGTTCGGTTGCTTATTTATTTTTGAGAAAATACAGCGGATCATCTTTGAACTCATTTATTGCGAATACCCGAGAAAGAATAAAATAGGCAAACTTACTGTCAAGTACATACTATATACCTAAGTATTGAGTTATAAGAAAAGAATTACTTTGGCTTACCTTGAATGTAAGCATGGTAAATTGTTTCACGCATAGAATTCGATGAGTTGATGTTGAAAACATGAAGATTATTCCGAAAACGAGATGTTATACACACAGCAAATGAAAATAAATAATTTCCAAAAGCCTTTTCTTCAGCTAAACTCAATAGTTTTTCAACAGGAAATCGTTTTCCTTTGATTTCATATTCTTGGGCTCGGATGACATTGTAAAGTTTTCGCACATCATTGACAAAGTTTAGACGATGGTTACCAAGAGGATGCAAAACTTCTCTCAAACTGTGGATACAATGAAATATTTACCAGTATTTATATTAATTTGGTAAACTTACGTATTTTCGATGAAGGATGATGGAACGTTTGCATTGCCTCGCCGAAACTTCTCATCAAGCATGATAGTTATATCTATATCATCTTCACCACGATGCATTGCTGTATCATGATCAATACTCGTTTGGTTTCTTTCTATCATCGGTACAGGCATATCTTCAATGAAAATACGTTTAGAGCTCTATATCAAAATTTGTAATTTTTATGAAGAACTATCGTTTTCGACATTTATACGTTGTCAAATATTCTGATTCTACACTTTTAAGGATGACATAATTCGTTGACTTTGAAATGACAGTTGTGACTATTAGAAAGATCTCAAATTTGTTCCATGGCTCTCCAGAGACGTTTGTTTTTAAAATAATCTAGTCTATTTTAAATATTCAAGAACTTTGAATGAGCGATAACAATTGTAGAGATGTGTGCAGTGAGGAAAATCGGAGAAGAATGCAAAGTCGAAGGATATGCTCGTGCTTATATTCTTCGATATACTCCCATTGTCGAGATTTTTGGGAGAATGATTTTCCAGAAAACCAATGTGATTTTTAGTATTTTAGAATTTTCAGGATTTTTAGCGTGCTGATATGACTTTGAAAAACCCACTTTTTAAAAATCCTGAATCTCAAGCATCTTGTCAAAATTTGTTGAGGAGTCTATCTTAAACCGTTATAATTCCTGTTTGCAGAATTTCTGAAGGTAGAACAGGATTTTCGTGGGATTCATTCAGATTCTTGCTTAGACCTTTTCAAAAATTAATATTTTACCATCCTATCTAGGATTCTCACAGGAATCTCTAACAACATATTCCTAAGGTATCATTGTGTTTTAATCAATATCTGATAAAAGTTCTGGCGCGAAAAGATTCTCTAAACAATAAAAGCTGAATCAGGAGAACATTGCAACAAAAATAAGAAGGGAATCTGTGGCATAGTTCAGCGAAGGAAAACAAACATGTATACTCTTACTTCTTTGCACATCAACGATTCCAGTCACTACTATTTTGTCAACTTCTTTGATATTCCCTAGTTGCATGTTTTCTTAAAGAGTTGTCCTTTCCTTAAACGAATTTCTGATTAGTATCTTAGTGGTGAATGTGCTAGGATCATGATGCGATTCCGTTTCAAATCTTATCAGAACTCCTATAATGTCATGGTTATGATGCTTTTGTCAGGATTTGCTCATTTCCTCGAGAAAAAATGTGAATTCTCTTAGTATCTGTATAGGATCCACCAATGCTATGAGATGAAAGCAACAGAAATTTTCTTTGAATAGCAAATTTGTGTTCTGATTATTTTTGTGAAGCGATATGTCAACAAATTCAGAGATACTGAGAAATGTGCGAAATTTTAAGAGTTTTGTCGAATTTTTAATGAAATTAATGTAAGTTTGGTTCCATGAATCACAGCTTTTGCATTTTTATGTTGAAAATGAATTCAAAAGATTTTCAGGAGTGAATTATAATATTTCGGTCGTGATATACATTTTTAAAGTATTTTTTAGTAATGTTATAATGAAAGAATTGATGCCGTGAGACCTATTGAGAAATATCTATTTTCAAAATTATTTTCACTATTTAGTATATTTTTCTAAAACAGATTTACTATCAGCCATACATGAAAAATATTGAACAGATACTTTGAAACTCTTGAGTCGAAATGAATAACAAATAGAGAGATGTCATTAATATAAAAATGCGTGTAACAGTAGTGCTTTTTCGAATTTTTTTCAGATGATTTTTACACATAAAGAAAACAACGAAAATATATGTTATGATTAAGACTTAAAATATCGAACGTAGAATTTAGATACCATCACCTACCCCATCCTCATCTGATTGGTTCGTATACTGAAAGTCTAGAGATTAATATTCTATGTGTTCGTTTGCTTTCTGTTTCATTTAGAAAGTCATGCAAAGATCTTGCCAAGATATTTGATAACATCTTCAAAGAATCAGGCAAAGTTTTGCAACAATTCTGTTATAAGAAATCCAATAGCATTCTGAAGAAATATATAAACTTCTCGAAGCGTCCTGGCAAGAAATCTCAAAAAAAAATGCTCGAAGAGAGCTAGGAAAACCCTGTAGGATGCAGTAAAAATTTGTTTTTCCAGTGTCGCATCATCGAGACCTTTGTAGGACCTTGACCTAAAAACGAATCGAAAACTACTCAACATGCTAGTGGAATCCTGTTTCAAATCTTGCTAAGATCTTTGAAGGACCTTCATGGAAGGCTTGGAAAATCGGCGATGGAAACGAGGAGGATTTCCACTAAAATTACGTTGGATAAACTTTTCTTCCGAGTAGTTGTCTAATATGCTGGGAGGGGGGTTATAGCGTTTAGCTGGAACAAAGCAATTAGTTTAAGTATGTTTGTTAATGCCAACATTTCAAACGCGTGTATAGATATGTTCTGAACGTTCCAGATATATCGATTATTTTGGAATAAAAGTATACTTGTGACCAGTGACAGTAGACTATAAAAGTATCGTCTCAAAAACGTCATTTACTTTCAGTTAGTGTAAGATATTTACACAATACATTAGCCAATTGTCCGCTTCCCTACGCAATTCGAAAAATTGTCATTATTTAAGATTTTCAAATTAAATATGACTTACATCAACAATAACGACCGGAATTTGTTTCTGTAAATCGGTGCATATTGACTCAATTGCATGTAGAGTACCACCGACCAGAACTGTAATCATTGGAACTAAATTTAAAAAGTTTATGTGTAGTCGAAAAATTTAGAAGATTTATATTCAATTAAATACGAACGTCTTCGTCGTGCGCCACGTGATATTTGTCGAGCGAGTTTTGAAGTAAATTCACCATTGTCCAATGAATCACAGGTACCATCATCGAAAAAAATGTAATGTGTATGGTTCAATTCTAGATTGTATCGTCCATGTCCTTTACGTGTTGGAAATTGCTTTTTTGAACTCCTACAAGACTATTGTAGAGTGCTGATATAATTGAATCGATTGAAAGGAAAAATTAAGACTGCTCGCAATTAGCTAGACTAGATGAGTTTATATGAAAGATCGATATATCACAAACCTTTGTTTTAGTCTGTGACAATCATGAATGTTACCCCATTTACCAACAGCAATAGCGCTAAAATTTATTTCAGGATTTTTTATTCGACTCTTGTAAACTACTTCACCGATTAATTCTGAAATGCTCTCTTCCTTGTAACCACTTGTGATAATCCATGCATCTAAAGATCAACAATGTTACCAGTTGAATTTGAATCACTACTTGACCTTACCCGATGCAATAGCAGCATCCGAGATGCCTTGCAAAAGTTCTTTCTCCAATTGGATACTTGGGATTGAATCTGCATCACCCATCATTCTCATGATAATGCGAGGCGGCGCTATAGACCACACTCCTAACAGTACCAAACAGAGCTGCTCGAGTTGTGTTTCGATGTCACACCGTAAATACTAGGATAACAATTAAATGGAGTCGTCCCCTTTAAATCAAACAACCGCATAACTCACCGGGCTATTTGACTGTGGCAATATACCGTAAAACGTAGTACTAGTTTTTACAGTATGTGCTTTCCAATCCCATGTTGTTTTCGGCTCAGGTTTGTTCTTCTTATCGTGATTATAATTACAGACACAGCAGTCGCTGTCTGTTCTAGATCGTAGAGTATCATTTCATTATTGAAACTTTCAAATGATTAGATTTGCTTACTCTTTAGGTATAAACGTCGTGCATATTCGTTCCTGAAAGTTTAATCGAGATATGGCAGTTTTCCAATGAATCGATTCATCATTAAACCTCTAAAGCAATACAGAATGAGAAAAGAACTGACACTGTAAAGAACTTACATCATCAGGTGGTGGAATAAGCTCAATTAATTGGCTCATGTTTCGAAATCAATGAAATTTTTCTAGAAAATATAATTATGAGATTACTATACAATACATAAGAAGATTATTCGAGAATTCTAGGATACATCCATTGTATAAAGCGAACTTTACCAAAGAAAGTATTTTCTCAACTCATTATATTATTCGATAGACCACTATCTTCAGTATATTTTATAAAAAAAATTACTTTTTTCATAAGTACTTTGATGAATTTTCCGTTATTCTGTATTGGAGAATTCGGAGTCATATTTCTATCTCCTTCAATAGAGAAAACCATTCTCTACACGCTGACAGGTAAAATTAGAAGATGAAAATAATATTGCTGAACTCAGTGAACCTTCCAATACCGAGATCCTCATAAATTTTCCAGAAGACTTTATTTTTGAGGTATGATAATATGGAAACTCAATCTAAAAGATATCATTCTATAGAGAACACCAAACTGAATCGAAAAAGTGTTCTCTATTTTCAATTATGATGAAAAAATGTGCATTAATTATGTCTTAATGACAATTTTTTTCTACACTAATTTTTCCTTAATCTTAGTTTTTAGGAATCGAAATCATGTTTAAAACTATTGGTAAAGAAATGATCTTAAGAGAAATAAAATTTTGCGCAAAATAATTTGCTTTCAGGGGTCGATAACTGTTTGTCGTAGGTAGAATAACATCTCATCTATTAGATTAACTTTAAGCGTATGCAAAAAAAAAAAGGAAAAAAAAAGACTTTAAGTCGTGCACAGGTAAGAATATATACTTCAAATACAAAGTAAGATGAAGCAAAGAAAATGCATACCTTTTGCTATAAAATGTAATGAAAAAAAGACTATCTTATCTTATCGACGAAGAGACTGGTTACCAACTACTAAAACACATTATTTTTCAGTGGATTTGATTCTTCGTAAGATTTTTTCTTCATAAATAGATGTTAACATGATTTTGATTTCTAAAAGCTTAGATTATTAAAAGATTCATATAGGAGAATAATTATAATTAGCAAAGAATACTGAATTTTTATCATGATTGAAATAGAAAATACTATTCGAGTTAATTTTGTCATCGCTCCCGAAGCGCATAATAAGAGTCGAGATTATGCATTTTCTTCACGGTGAAATTTCTTCTACAGTAGATGTATTACAAGGAGTCAGAATAATATTTTCTTTGACTTTCGATTAACAAGTAGGACGTTAGAGATATGTTATGATCTGCAATTGAACCCATGATCAATAACTGTCTATCCGATTCACCTTTCTAACCATTGAACCGTAGAAACACGACAAATATAAAATATTATTTTTTTAATAGTATTTACCAGGCCAAGTGTTTTATCGTTTACACGCTTTGTGCGATGCACCTGTATACAGAGTCGCTTATATTTCTAATCGAATGAAGATAATTGTAAACCGTTATTCTCCTCCTCTTCTCGAAGATAACTACAACTGTTAAAGGATAGAAGAGAAGTATATGTAACTAAACAATAATAATTGCTTACCTTTTTTAGACTTCGGATGAATGCATACATCATTCAGAACTAAACGACATATTCGTTGTGTTTCTACGCTCTTTAGCTCAATGGTTACAGAACTGGTTCGGAGAGCCAGTTAGCTGTTGTAGGTTCGATTCTAGATTGAAGTATACCTTTTATATTCTATTTATCGATTGAATGTTAAAGACTGTACACAAATCAATTATGTTTAGTTACTTATGTTTCCTTTCTATCCACTATCCAATGTGAGGTTGCTATAATTTGTGCTTATTTAATAGGAAAAGATAAAACAGACACATCTGTATTCTTTGAAATGAAATAAAAATGTATGTAGTAGGATAAATATACACAAGCCGATTATTCTCGATTGCAAACATTCGTCACAGCCAGGCATTCGTTTTAAACGACAGTTGGATATCAAAGTTAAGGGCCGAAGATGGTGATTGTAAACGATCTGGAACACGAATATCATTTTTCTATTCGATTTATACGTAAACGATTGTTTACGACTATCAACTACTATTTCTAAGTGTCATAGAATTTTTTAATTATCATGAAAGGTCATCCCGCCTGAAAGTCCAATTTTGCACCAGGTACACTCAAATCATTTAAAAGGGCTCCGCCGGGTAAGAATCCAAATCTCCCACCCTAGGCAACAAAATTACATTCACACTTTTCTAAACGGCTGTATGTCATTTAGAGTTCTACCAAAGTATGAAGTTCACTGCCTTAGTCTCATCTCATAAACTTTTTTATCCTTGCTCTGTCCAATCCTACCTCATACTGGAAGACTCATATCCTAGTACTACAATACACTCTAAAAAAGATACATTCTTTTACCAACCTGTGTCCATGGAAGCGCGTTTTTGATTTCATACGCTGTTGCTAAACTTTAAAAACCTTGACAATCAGTATATTGAAGCACAAGACACACAGAAATTTCGTACAGTACTGGGATATGAGTCTCCCAGCATGAGGTAGGATAGGACAGAGCAAGGATAAAAAACAATTCAAGAGTTGGGACTAAGGCAATGAACTTCATACTTTGGTAGGACGTTAAGTAATATACAGCTTTTTAGAAAAGCATGAATGTAATTTTGTTACACGGGATGGTAGATTTGGACCCTTATCTGGCGAGGTCCTTTGCAGCACCCATGGAAGATATAGCGTAGAGACAATAGTAAAATTTACAGCTCGATATTCTGGCTTTTCACGTAGATAGTCATAACATGTGAGTCAAGAAGGTTGTGTTGGGGAAATCAAAGTTCGCTCTCTGGATTCATTCTATGGATTTTACTTTTTGTTAGAGAAGATCCCATTATTTTAATTGTTACTTTTGAAGTGCAGCACAGATATTTTGAATTCAATGATCCCCGACAACCTTTAAAAATATGGTTGCCTAACTGTATGCATGCTTTTATAAGCAACAAAAGCAAGGCTTGATTTTAAAAAGATCTCTGGTAAACACTGCATCTTGACATACTCTTCCATAATAAAGAAGTGATAAAATGTATCGCCATGACCACGCGGTACGCAATTTCATTTTGTTACTTGGCAACATCCCTAACTTCTCAATAATAATAAAAAACTGTGGGAAATTTTTATCACAGATACAAGTCACTTAGATCGACCGAGGTTAACCCCTCCTGGTCGTAAATGATCGTATAGGTTACTCAAAAAACCCATTTTCACGCTGATCATTTCTTGTCGTCCCTCTCGACGTAAATCCTATTCTTCACAGACCTATTTCTCTGTCTGTTCTCACTTATAACTAGGTAATGAATCCAACGACGTTAGTATTCCTTTAGGTGCCATACCAACAAGCGAATACTCTGACACATCAGAAAAAACGAAATATCTTCTCTATAGCCATTTAGGAAAAACAAAGCCCCATACCCATTGTCTAAGTACTGAAAAAGCTTCATGAAATCTGATAATACGATAAAATAAAGAACACACGTATGATCGCCTACTTGAAATCACTTTTTCTTGTCGAACCGTACAAAGAAAATCAATAAAGAGGATATTTTTTAGTGCTGAGAACGGGATTTTATCTGGAACTAATGAAAGAAAGTCAATGGCTAGAATATGTGATGCGTGAGAAACGGCTGCCTGTGTTGAGCTGCATTGGAGAAATGATTCGGTTTCGTATGCGCTAGCATCAGGATGCCGATTGGTGGGCTGGATTGCAAGATAGTTTTCAAATGAGTGTCATCTTGTAAGTAGTTCTCCTAAAAAAACCATAAGTGTATTATATGCTTCATTGGTTGAATCAGCGTGATGAGAGCAGAGTTTGCGGAGTCTCTCGTGCTGTTGCGCGACCGATTCTTAATTTTTTCGTAGTCAGGGAAGTGTAATTCATCTCAAACACATTTTACAATGTTCCTAAAGCGTTTCGTACGCTGCACACTAACAACACAAGCGTTAACTATCAAGCGGATTTTTTTTTTCATGGGAAATGGCTTCATGAGACGCTTCTAAGCTTCTTTTCTACAATTGAATGTTGGTGTAGGATTTTAATCGAAATATTTCCAAAGTCGTAATGAAAAACTTTCTAAAGTTGATCGTAGAGAAAGAATTTCAGTCTAAATGTATGGATAATCATCATAGAAAGGCCTGTTTTCCGTGAGAAAAAGAATTCCGGATGGAAAATGTCTTTTTAATACCTAAAGTACCTGACCTCTAATAGGCACTCTGGTAATGGTGTTTTAGTGACACCGAGATGACTGTTCGGTTTTCACTGTTTTCTCTGATCTTCATGCTTGGTTGCGGATGCATTACGGTCGTTATGATCGTTTAGAGTAGGACACGGCCGTAATACAGTCGCCGAAAATCATCGCCCGAGTATTGCCAGTAAAAAATTCCTTAACTTATCTTGCGTCAAAGTAGAGTTATCGAACAGAAGCTGACGTTACGCAATTTCAAAAATTGGAACATTTTTATAGGGTAGATAAGACTCAAGTGCTTTGCTACGAAATAAAGCAACACAGAAATGAATGTTATTGCTAAATTGTCTAGTTTTTCATAAACTTCTAGTAGAGTAGATCACATTCGATCGAGCCTTATTTCATCAAATAAAAAAAATTGAAATACGATCTGTCACTGAATTTCATTTCGTTAGGAAATTTTGAACTCTTTTGGCATCCTATTGTGGAGAGTTCAAGAACTTGTCATTGTCCTATCGGATCAAAAAGGTTCATCCTCTTTTTAATCTTTAAGTACTACAAAAGAAGCTTTATTATTCTAAAATCTCAATTATATTTACAAACAATTCCCATCAAACATGGCTAAATTTTTTTCATCAAGAAAGTGTAACACCACAGTTTGAAAAGCCAGTTTTCTTTTTGGTGAAATTATTCAAGAAATCTCGTTTGAAAGATCGATAGAAAGAAAGCTGAGATTTAATGCTTGTACGGTCGCGAGCATCACAGTTTGGAGGGTGTTTGATAATCCGTCGATAGCACGCTTGATTGTAAAGATTCTATTCTTTACTTTTATAATTTCAAGCCTTGCTCATACGAGACAAGAGTGGAACCTTTGCTACAAAAATCATTTTAAGATCCATCGGACGAAAAAAGATTCCATATGAAAAATCCGAAACCATCCTGGCTCGCGATAAATTCTTTATGGATTTATACGAAGCTTTTTAGGTTTCGTCTCGAACCAATATAGTTTCGAATTTTTTATATGATCTTTTTTTGCTCTGGGGCGGAAGGTCTTTTAAAGGTTTCGCCTATGTGTCTAGTAGAAATTGGAAAAAAGGGAAGAAAACTTTCAACTTTTCTGAAACAAAGCATACTGATTAAGTCAAAAATGACGGATTTTTTCTGGAAGAAAATAAGATGTTAAAGTAAGAGTCGCTTTTATCTATGAAAGATCTCAACTCGGGTCATCACTTTTATTTATTTTCACGAAAATTCATTGTTTTTAGAATGAGAGAATTGTTTTTAAACAAACTATCATTATACAAAATGTTCAGTAAAAATCATGATTACTTTTTCTTGATAAATAACTTAATACCATCTGATATTTTTCTATGAAACGTCATTTTTCAACGAATAATAAGTGAGTTGAAAAAAGGTTTCGAATCTAGATTTGATTGGAATTCTCGCCGAATTCTAAAACTAAAACAATCAATTCAAGGCAAAAACATGCAATTGGTTTCCTTGGCTTACGAAAATAAATTCGCTTAGGATGTGACACTATACGAACGTCAGTTATTTGAGGAGTGTCGAAATGTATCAAACAAATGAGAGATGTTCCGTTGAAGCTGCTACTCGGTTGAAGTTTGCAAATAAAGAATTAATTTTAATTGATCCTATGACATGAAGAAAGATCTACATAAATAGTCTATACATGTTCTATCTAAGAAAACCTTACAAGCGTGGAACTATTATATTGTTATATAGTTACAACTCTATAAGTGTAGTACGTCGATGTCATTAGAAAATGCACCACTATTTATACAAGTACGACTGTAAAAATCATGCGGAATCGTTTTCACATATACTATGAGAAGATCTTCTTGTATGCTGAAACAAAGACCATATCATCACCGCTTACTATTAAGTATGACTCATTGGTTTTTTCTTTTCGCTATCCTCTTTGATCATTCAAGTATTTCTCTTTTATCAATGATTTTTCATGTCACATAATACAACCTTTGGATAGTTAGTAATCAGTTGTTCCACTAGATTTTTGTTTTTCTCTCACCAAATGCCCTGTTTATGTTTTACTTTTTCTCGTGAAAAATTCATCAGTAACTGTTATTGTTAATTGATTCCTTACTGTTATTCATATTATAATAAATCCCTGATATATTACCCTTATCTATCACCTTATTGATTCAACAATAACTAGGCAGTTAAAGTGTTTTAGTCTATTTTATGTATGGTTTCTGCTTTCTGTTAAACATTGAGATTACATACGTACAATCATTTTCTAGTTTAAACCTTGATTGGAACAAGAATCAAAACCTTATCTAAAAGAGAATCTCACATCTATAATCATAGAGAAAATCGATGATAGCATATGTAGTAGAATAGAAATCGGTGATAAGATAATTGTGAAGAAATTTTGCTCAGATTTTTGCTCACTAGATTTCACATGATAATAATACTAATTTGTCTGGTTTGTTGTAGATGGAAGAAAATAGTGCGAAACCATTATTTACTGGAACATTTAAATATTTTAATCTTCTTCGAGAAATCGATAATATCTTAATTTGTATGAATTTTACAGGACAAGTTTGTGAAATAGATGAGATTGATAGAATGTCATCTATTGTGACTAAAGATTTGAAAACGATAATGGCCAAAATGAATTCTCAAAGTCGTGCAACATTACTCATAACAATATTAAACACAATTATTCGCATTGCTGCACTTGATAACAAAGGCTTCACATCACGAGATAGTTTTCAATCAATGATTAATCAAATATTCGACTCCCTCGATGACAATAATGAAAATCAAAAGGAGAATTATCAAGAGTATGCTACTGATATGTTAGATTTGATTCTTATGAATCTGTATAAAGATAAGCTAGTCGACAAGTGCTTCAACCGGCTTCTGCCAAAGAAGGCGACATCAACTACAGGTAATGTTCTCTATAATTGTAGGCGACAGACTCTGTACACCGTGCATAATTAAAATTTTATTTATCAGTGTAGAATGTGAGTGTGAGTAGATGTCAACGTTGTTTTTCTTTCCATCAACATTGACAATTACTTTCAAAGAAATATACTATTGATACATTTAAATAGGAGTTCATAGTAAACCAAGTTTTATTCTAAAAGAGATAGGTTTGTGACATTGTCCAGCGTGCGCAACTTCTTGTAGTATTCCCAGTTGTTTCATCTGTCTTTTGGCAATTATTAAAACGTCACAGCCCTTGTTACTTTTTATACCTCCTGAGCCTTAGTAGTCTCTTATAGTCCCATCTTGTTCTTTGCAACTCTTTTAGCTGCCTATAGTACCCCATGCTTTATTCGCAAGTTATTTTATAATTTATGTGCTATATAAATTCTTTTGTAATGCAGACGTGTTATTAAATGAGATGAACAATACAGTTAGAGAGATTTCTAAAAGCAATAATAGAAAACACACAATAAAAGAATGTATCGAAATAAACTTAGCATATTAAGAATGAAACTGGGGAACATTCCCAGTGCATATCGAAAACTTGTACACAATTCTAACGCTTTGAATCATTTAGATTCTAGCACAATCAACGAATCATCCACAAAAGATGAAAACGAAAGTTTTAGAAAAATCATAGCAGTTTATATATACTTTGCCAGTGGTTTTGTCTCCGAAGCAGTCATTCGATCCGTGGAGGAATTTGACAAAAATTACCGTTCTGTTATGCAATCATTAGTGGATTTTATTGATACATATTTGATCAATGTGAGCGAACACGTTTTCTTGGTTATGCAAGAAGTAATAGATAGCATTTTACGTTTCATATGGAATCTGAGCAGCAAAATTGAACTTGTTCCTATGCTCATTAGCGTTGGGTGCGCTGAAAAAGCTGTCCAATGTATTGGCACAAATATATTCGAGTCTAACATCGGCACACTTGGTGAAGCAATGTTTACTATCATTCACAATCTATCAAGACATAGAAAAGGTTTAGTCGAGCTACGAAGAAAAAAGGCATTCGATATTGTCATGAACCATCAACAATTAGTCAACGAACAAGGAAATGAAAACCTAACTCAAGCATACGGCGCATCTTTGGTAGCACTATCTTCAAATGTTCATCTACAAAAAGAGAACGAAAATTTTATTCTGGGTGTTAGCAGAAAATGGTATGAATTGAGTAAACAGAGTGTAAAAACAGCCCATTTAGAATATGAGGGATATCATTTATCGGAGTTGTTCGGATTATTGCAGCGTGCTTTCTCTAACCGATCCATAATGGAAAGTATTTTGGAAGATGAATCGAAAGAGGAAAAGAAATCAACAAAATTCTTCACAAGTACTTTTTTATCCATTTATGGAATATTGATTCATGAAGAAGCGGACGACCTCGAAAAGATTGCTGTGAAATATTTGCTTAAAATTCTATTGTGTATTTCGAATCACTCAAAGTACAAGGAGGAATTAACTAAGGATGATTCATTCTGCATTGCCATTCAAAGTCTTGCGAAACGTCCAAAACAAGATGTTGCCAAACTCATATGCGGTAATCTTCAGCTCGAAATACCACAGGACGAATCGCACACAGCAACATCATCAATTATATATGTCAGCTATAATTGGGCTGATGAGGAATTTTGTAAGGAGTTTGTGACTAAGTTGAGCGAAACAATAAAGCCAAAACGAATTTGGGTCGACTATGAACGTGTGGAATTGTGGGATGATTTATTAGAATACTCGAATCAAGCAATCGACTCAGCAACAGTAATTATTGTCATGGTATCAGCAGCCTATGTTAAAAGCGCTACTAACTATGAAGAATTAAAGTATGCAATCAATGGTAACAAATTACGACATCAGAAAAAAATTATAGTAGTCGAAACTGAGCCCGAACTTCAATTCGAATCAAGTGGAAATGGGATAAGCACATTGTTAGCACAGAAGGATCGTGTTTCTTATGATACTAGTATTGACAATGTGGTCTCCAGAGTTCATGAGTATATTGTACCTTCGACTGATTCATCCAAGACATGCTTACCACCTATCAATCCTATATCGAAAGTTTGTGTGATTATGTAAACTTATGTTTTTGCTTCCCAACACATACACCAAACTCTTTATTTTTTGACCGATTTTTTTACAAAATAATATTCATATGTGATAATTATCTTAATAGTCTGTTTTTTTATAAACAGAGTCATGTATTTTTTTTCTGAAGATAAGGGGTGAGAGTGTGGGTGTATTCGACGCAATTTTTGTTTCGTTATGATGACCAAAACTAAATTACACATTACGACGGATAGAAAGCCGATATTTGTAGCTAGATGATAAAAAAAAGGTAAGAACGACAGTGTGGATCAAGGAACATTCACATCCGGGCTTAATCAATGATACAAACTTGAACATCTCGTATGAAATCTGGCTAAAATAAGATTATATGAATAGTTAATTTAATGAATTTACTATGTTGTTCATTGGTAATTGATTTTGAGAAAATCATCAAGATGATGAGAACAAGGAAGAAAACTAAAATAATTTTTGAATTTTACAAAAGCTACTTTGATTATAAAGGACATCTATTGAAAATTCTATTGCTATCGGAGCAAAAGAGAGTGAACCATGAATTATGGACTCGAGTGACGACTGAAAAAATATTGCACAACCATTGGTCTACTGTCTGATGCGAACGACTCATTGCATCATTACTAAAACGAATCCATTTATGCGCTTATTTCGGGTCATCTCTAAATTGTCTCAATCGAAACGATGGTTTCACAGGAAAATTATTCATGAATTATCACATCTTTCCATCATATTTTTATTATGGTCATTTTTATTTTCTTGATTTTCTGGATATAACAAAATATCGTCATCTGCATTAAAAGCAAACTCAAGACCTAAGCCGAAAAAGTTGATGCGACTAAAACATACAGCTTCAGCACATTCTCAAGTACGGGGTCGCTTAATTTTATCACAGATTTAGGAATTTAAGGAGTTGAAAATTTTCAAGTACCCGTGATAGTATAATATTTTGACATCGTCGAAGACAACTAGCAACAAGCGCCCTCTATCACTTTTCTTGAAAATGACCAGCAAAATTTTTAGTAGAAATTATTCGTGATATTATGCTAATTCTAAATATATATAAATCTCTTTATTTGCTTCATTTTATAAAAAATGTTCACACAGTGCATTTAGAAATAACCACTAAAAGATAAGCGCAATCATTTCATCAAACAGTAGATCACATGATGAAGGTCGATGACTCATTGTCAGGCAACATTCATTACAACGAAGCATACTCTTTGAAAGTAAACAACATTAATGTCTGACAAAAATCTTCCATCCCTTTTGACATTACCTGTTGAGTTTGTCTATCACATTTTGGACAATCTCGATGAATTCACAATATTATATTCAGTTCATAATGTGTGTGCACGACTGAATTTGATCATCGGCACATATCATCGATATCAGGTAAATTTCATCTTTGTCATAGATTCAGATTTTTTATCATCTTTAAGACATCATTCAAGTCAACAAATGATTATTTTGATTATCTTACTTAGAATAGCAAAAAAAATCGAGGATAATATTTTGATTTTAATGAATATTACTTCAACGAAAAGAATCATTATGGTAGTCAAGGAATTTCTAAAGACTCTATTGGGTTCAGTATTCTTTCTGCAATTTTTAACTAAATAGCAAACAAAATGAATCTATTTTTAGAACCCATCAAACGTTTTCGTATTGCAGTTTTGTTTTCCTATAATAATTGTCGAAAAAGACATCTTTAGATACATTGAATTAAGAATTGAACAGAAGGGCTAATTGAATTTCATGATTTTCATACTTCTTGAATTTTCAAAACTTAAACATTCATTAAAGAAACTAAAGATAATTCTACGAAGTACTAGTACCTAAGACCACTGTACAAGCTGCTAGAAGTTTAGAAACTCTCAGAACACTTAAAAAACATCATAGTTATGCACCTATCCAAGTATTATCAGTAGACTCTTATAATCAAAGAAAACAAATAAGAAGAGGTTTTGGTACACTTGTACTCTAACACTTATGTTAATATTTAGATTTAGCGAATGAAATATAAGTTTTCAAAAATTACTGTTTTCTAAATATAAATTTACTTAAAAAAATATGAGCGATATATTTGATTGATGGAACACTTAGATGACTGTAAGAGATTCTCCAGTTCGTAGTTCTTCTCATATAAAATAAAATTTCACAACTCAAGGAATTACAAGCCCTTGAAAAATAATGAACTGGACATTTTGTGTAAGATTTCAGGTGATGTAATCAAAGTTTCTGTTAGACATGGGCAAATTTTTTAGATCAAAAACAGTTTATTTTATATTTGACGTTGCCCTGGATAATTGTACAGCATCCATTTCATTTTCAGATGGCATGATTAACCATTCAAGCACTACGTCCACTGTCATGTTTTCTGTATTCACTCTCATCCGAAATATAGTTCATGTGGCTTAGAGAGTTCTATGAGTGTGAAATTGACAACAGTCAACCATTACTGATCTGTCACGATGTCAACAGGCGACTGCACAAATATGTCGATTGTTTCAAAAAAAATGAGAAAAAATGTCCATAAACATATAATATATATGAATGATTAGCTGGCATTTGAGTAATAGTATGCTTTTAGAGTAGGATCAGGTAGAGTCTGAGAAAAAACGAAAATTATTCTTTTTGTCTGCTTTGGATTTTGAATCATTCAGAACCATGCAAAAGAATACAAGAAGAAATATGTTACTTTCAAGACAATAATGATTTGCTTCTACTAAATTATTTATCGCTCTAAACTCTGATTTTTGGCTATGCCAAGCTTCGTATTTTATATTACTTTCTTTTTCTTTTGTCTGTACGATCTCTCTGTAAATAGAATATTCAACGACATCAAAACGGCTATGATTTAAGTGATAAGTAAAATAAACTAAATGATCAGTAATGAAATTTGCAGTCCCCTCCCTATAGAATAGAAGCCCATCCCCAAAATCAGCACTGGCTGATTTCCATGGATTTGGAATTCATGAGGAATCCATGGAGAATCCATATGATCTTAAACGACAAGCTGTTCCGAAGTACCCATATGTGGCAACGTGCCCTGTGTGAAACATCATGTAACTGCCTCAATCAAGCCATATCAGGCGCGATTGATAGCGTCTCTAGTCGCAGTTTCTCGCTGTCGAATTGGATTCCCATAGATTCCTCATGAATTCCAAATCCACGGAAATCAGCCAGTACTGATTTCGGGAGGGAGGGGGGTGGAGGAAGGGGGCTTATATTCTGTAGGGAGGGGACTGGAAATTTCATTACTGATCATTTATATACTTTTTACTAATCATTTAATCTATTTTCCTGACCAAATATTTTGTTGCCTATAAAAAAGACACATTGACGAGTTTTCATATTTTGTAATACTTTCATAGGTAATAAAGAATGGATAATTTTCCCTCCGATGAATTACACTTGAAGAATTTGAAGATTGATGACGTTACTAGAAATCTTCGAGTGATTAGAAGCCATCCTATCATCTTTTAGAAAGTATATTTGCAATCAAAAGGACTGTTTCTTTATTGTAAAATAAAGATGACGATATTAGGGTGCGAACGAGGATCTGCTTTTCACCCGCACCCTTGTCATCAGCATTATTCGCAGATCCTAGTAAGTGTTTTTCGTTGTAATTAATTATCGAGGTGGATGATGCGCTTTTACGACGTAAAGGTTGACTTTAAATATATTTTGTGATTTCATCATTTGCAACAAAAATTCCGTTAATGTTAACACTTTGTTGTTGATGATTATTTATTTACATAGTTCTTACATTGACTATTTTTTTTTTCTAAATAGCAAATCAGTATTTGAGAGGGTAAAGGAAATGGCAAATTATGTAATTTGTTTGAGCTTCCTTCTAGATTTGATCATGGCCTTGTCTTTACTTTAGTGCATTTTCTCTACCATAAACCATTTGTAAGTATCAAAGTCAATTGATGAGATTTTCCAGAAAACCCATCTTCGAAACCTCATGTTGATGCTACTAAACGTATATCAGAGCCAATATCTGTTGTAACAGCTATAATTTTCCTCTTGGATTTTCAAATTTTCTATTTCATCTATATGGATTTGTGGTAGAAGTGTCTTCTAATACAAAAATAATATTCTCTTGTCGAAGACTTCTATATATTGAAAGTACAATATCGAATAGTTTTCTTAATTTTTGTTTAACCTCTTTAGGCTAACTTAAATATGACTATTGAAATTGACAACATGCATTTTTTCGATCAGGTATACGATATTTAAACAGAACATAGATACTAAGCAAAATAAAGAAATAATTCAACATTATTTCGACTGTACGCTGGAAGCTCTAGCTTTGAAAAGACTTTTTTGCGTTCCTTTCTTCTGAAGTCGTTAGATGAACGACTTTACATAGATGCTTCCTTAGCTATACTATCAAGTTCGTTATTTTTTGTTCAGTTCAAATTCATGTTGAATTAGTTTTGGTTGTAATTCTGATATGTAATAAAACGCTCTTGACTGGTAAATTTGCATCTCAAGTCCGATTGGATCTAAAAATAAGAAGGGAAAGACATATTATTGACTATAATAGGACGTAAGATGTGGAATCTTTTTTTCATTTTGGCAGCAAAACACAACTGATATTATATTTGTAGACTTTAATTAGTTGGGAAATATAACAGAAGAGAAGTTGGCCTATTTTTTTTAAGGATCTAAGCATAAATTAAATATCAGATTCGCATCAATACCGCTAGAATAAGGACTGAATTTCGTAACCAATTCTCTTTAAAGAATCATGTCTAGTGACTAGTACGTTTTTCGAGTATTAAGGGTACTTCTTTCCTTTTCTGGAATTTCTGGAGAGCCGCTTATCAGAAAATTTTGAAATTTTCAGAACAGGTAGATCTTGATGAATATAACAAAAGTTGTCATAGACTCAAGATTCTCTGATGTTGTCTTCTATGAGATAATAGGATCACAATAGCGAAAAATGATCCCTAGTTTTAGCCCCTGTGTCTCCAAGAGGGTAAGTTCGATTGAACTGAAAATTTTTTTTTTATAGGTACTAGACATTCAAATAGTGACTAGAATGTATGAAAAAAGTTTCAGCTCGATCCTTCTTACCATATCGGAGAAGCGGAGATGAAACGATACTTTTAAAAATTTTATTTTGAGAAAAGCGTAAAACAACATACGATTTTCGCTATTTTTCTTATGTAAGTTTGATTTCTTCTTGAATTTTTTAACTTTTAAAGACAATTCTTAAGTCTCAAAATATACTCAGTAGATAGATACTACTTGAAACTATACAATGACTGCAAAAATGAAAAAAATGTTGAGTGAGGACAGGAGAGTACCATTAAGTACTTTTATCCTAGCACAAATTTTCCGTTAGTTTCATTCCAACATGTTTGTGTAGTTCAAAAATATAATTCTCTGTTTCTAAACCCTCAATATCTGACCTAAGAATATTTGCAAGATTGACAACGACTTTGTTTCTAATGTCTAGTGAATGGATATGATTGAGACAAACTAATTTGCATTAGAAATGCTTGAACATGCAGATGTTTCATTTGATCATGGAAAGCAGTTTGTATCTTTTTATCTATACTAGAGTGACTTCTAATCAAGAAATTGTAGAATAAACGATCTTATTTATATTATGAAGGACAGCGTTCACGCAATCTTTCTTTTTTGTCAACTTTAGTACACAACGAAAGAGCAGATGATAAATGTTATTGATACTATTCAAAAATTCACCCATGTATCGTATCATCTTGTCTTTATATGAATGTTTTTTTTAAGCAGAATCCAACACATAGACGTCATGAATGAACACCTGACGTGTTCTTTCAATCCTTGAATAATAATATTAACTACTTTCATTGTTGACTCGAATTTTTTTCAAACATTTCACGAAAAATGAAAACATGAAATCAATATTGTTTTTCGTTCCATTTTTTAAATAAATATCCACTGAGAAGCAGACTAAGATTCGATATCAAAGAACTGTTGATTGTTTTCGCTTTTACTGAATTATAATGAGAAAATTTTAAAGAATACATACTAGAAACAACTACTACAAGTAAAAGAGGGTAATTAGTTCAACAATCTTTTTAATACAGCTAGAAAAAAATACCAAAGAGAAGTGATTCCAAGTAAAAAACAGTGAATTACGCGACAGAGAGTGAACAGACAGATATCAGGTTGTACCATATATCATTGATTGTTTTAATGATTCCCTTACGTTTTTTTTTCGTGCACAGAACTTTAAAAATCTAAAAACTTCGTTTCCTTTCTAAAAGCAAAGTTACACTGAAAGTGTTAACCATATTCTTGATCGAAACTTTCCCACAGACACTCATTACACTTGTCTTTGCTCTAGAGCCCTACAGGACCAACTTTTTTCGTGTGCCAAATCCCATTTGTCCTATCCCGAAAATTTCTCACAATGCCCCGATCCCAATTGTCCTGTTCCACAGTACAAACGGGATTTTTCGAGATTCGGCACTGTTCCACAGAACTCGAGACTCTTCTCCTAGTCAAATCGGAGACAAAGGGATACGACATCTTGCATATGTGCTTATAAACAACATAGTTTTGCATCATTCACTACTCATCTACGTCTTTTCAATCTCCACTTTTCACATAGACATTCACCTCAATCAATCTAGCACATAGTAAAATCAATGACCTAGCAGCACGTCGTCTTGGGAATGCACTCACAAACAACACAGTAATGTGCCATGTACCACCTGTCATCGTCTATTCAATCTGTACTTTTTACACAGACACTCATCATACTCGACCTTGCATACAATCAAATCGGAGCCCTAGGAGCTCACGATATTGCCAGTGTTCTAACAATGAACACGGTAATACTAGATTCACTACTCATCTTCATCCTGTTGATCTTCACTTTTTATACAGACACTCACCACACTGGATCTTCGTGCGAATCGAATCGGACACAAAGGAGCACAACATCTTGCAAATGCACTCAAAAACAACACGGTAATGCTTGATTCACTACTCGTCTTCGTTTTATCGATCTCAACTTTTCATATAGACACTCAATACACTTGACCTTTTTGATAATCAAATCGGAGACAAAGGGGTACAACATCTTGCAAATGCACTCATAAACAACACGGTAGTGTACCATTCACTACTCGTTCTGGTTTTGTCAATCTCCACTCGTTATATAATTAGGCACTTATCATACTCCACCTTGGATCTAATCGAATTGAAGCCACAGGAGCACAGCATCTTGCCAATGCTCTAATAACGAATACGGTAATTCCTGATCCACGACTTATCTTTGTCTTCTCAATCTCCATTTCTCACACAGATACTCATCACTCTTGACCTATATTTGAATGAAATCGGAGACGAAGGAGCACAACATCTTGCAAATGCACTCACAAACAATACGGTAGTACACCATTCACTACTTATTTTCGTCTTGTCGATTTCCACTTTTCATACAGACACTCGCCACACTTCGCCTTTATCATAATCAAGTCGGAGACAATGGAGCACAGCATCTTGCAAATGCGCTCGTAAACAACACGGTAATGCACCAGTCACTACTCATCTTGGTGATGTGCATATCTCAATTTTTCATACAGACACTCACCAAACTCGAACTTGGATCTAATCGAATCGAAGCCCTAGGAGCACAGTATCTTGCCAATGCTCTAACAACGAACACAGTAATACTCGATTCACTACTCATCTTCGTCTAGTCAATCTCTCCTTTTCACACAGGCACTCATCATACTTGATCTTAAATCTAATCGAATCGGAGACAAAGGGATACAACATCTTGCAAATGCACTCACAAACAATACGGTAGTGCACCATTCACTACTTGTCTAGGTCTTATTGATCTTCACTTTTCGCACAGACACTTATCACAATTAACCTAGGATCTAATGGAATCGAAGACAATGGAGCACAATATGTTGGAAATGCTCTAACAAGTAACAAGGTAATACTCGATTCACTAATATTTCTCATTTTATCGATCTCTACTTTTCACGAAGACTGTCACCAAACTTAACCTGGATCGTAATCGAATCGGAGTCCCAGGAGCAGACTATCTTGCCAAAGCTCTCACAAAAAACATCGTAGCACCCGATTCATTACTCATCTTCGTCTTGTCCATCTCTCCTTTTTACACAGACACTCACTACATTTGACTTATCTTTGAATCGAATCGGCGATGAAGGGGTACGATCTATTGCAGACGCTTTAAAAAGCAACACGGTAATGTGCGCTCTATCACTCTGCTTCATCTTTTAAGTGTTCAATTTTCACATAGACACTCATCACACTCAATCTAATGAGCAATGGTGTAAGTTACAATGCAAAGCAACGAGCGATGGAAATTCTGAATGGAAACAAAATGCTGAATGTGTGCTGGTGATTTATCTTAGTTTTTCTTTGAGCCAGTTGCTTTGGCATGGCTTGCATATTGCTATCTGTTTATGGGATTATTCTGTTCTTTAATAAAGATATATGGTGAATTCGCTTTGATGTGGAAGCTTCGTATTTTGTGACTTGATCGACCATTACATGCTTCAGAGTTTAGTGTCAGAGGAAAGTTCTATGAAGTAATGGGTATATAGTCCAATGTAGACAGTCGCTTATTCCTTGTAATTCACATTTCGTCGTTGTTCGTACTTAAAATAGCTATTGAGCAATCGAACGTTGTTTCGCGACGCATCGGCGATGTGGGTGTGGGGTGTGGATGTGAGTATGTCTGT